TTCAGCAGGTTAAGGCCATGTAATAAAGGTTATTACGATTGTTTTGAATTAAGAAAGTCTATGATGTAATATAATGGTAGGATATTTATTCCAGTGCTGTTTAGTGGAATGAGTTACATGGTGCATATATTGTTTTGACAAAATTAACATTGATAGGCCACTAGGACAGGTATATCACCTGCACTTCCGGCAAGACACTCAAATTAAAATCATAAAGTAATGCAGAGCTTAAGGTAATATGCTGTTGTTGTTTAGCCTATTGATGATTCCACTCCGTTGTAAACATGTCCTTTCGTAGTAGTCACGTCATTTTTGGGGTCTTGAAGCAAGAGATATCCTGCTATGCAAGGCATTGTGCCCAGCAGTCTGTGTCCAATCCAAAATCACTAGTGCGTGATCTGTGTTTTCTGACTGTTGAACGCCTTTGTTTTGGGGTAAAATCTGAAAGCATCATTTTTCTGCAGTTATTGTAAATACTTTTTTCCGACAGTCCGTGAAGGCAGCGTATGGGCTACACGGGAGTCGAGGAAGCGCCTAGCAGCGTGGATATGTCGGACCCGGCGGCGCAGGCCTTGCAACCCCGGCTTCTCCAAGCCCAGTCTGCTGGGTCCACTACTGCCGCGACAGGCTCCGGGTCAGGGAATAGTGATCCGGCCAGGCCGGGACTTAGCCAGCAACAACGTGCAAGCCAGAAGAAAGCCCAAGTCCGAGCTTTCCCACGGGCGAAAAAGCTTGAGAAACTTGGCGTATTCTCCGCATGCAAGGTAGCTAGGTAGCATAGCTAGCCAAAGTTCACCGCAACAAAGCACTCTCTGTGATGTGGGCTAACAAATGGTAGCAAACATAAACAAATGGTTTAATGAACGAACGTAATAGTTAACTTTTGTAGCTAGTTAGCCAGACAGTCTGCCGGATAGCTAACAGTAAACGTTGCGTTGTTCCCATGAAATCTTTGAAGACGCGTTCATTATCAGCTAGCTTAATTGTTTTATCACTGACGCACAAAACAGCACCCGACTTACTGTTTTAAATGCTTTATTTATTACTCTATATATTTTTCGCTATTCTCAGGCTAGTGACACATGTAAGTGCAATGGATGGAAAAACCCAAATCCACCATCCGCCACTCGTATGGACCTGCAACAGCAAGCAGCCAGCCTAAGCGAGCCGTGCCGCAGCTGTGGACATGCTCTGGGTACAAACAGCGTCCAGCACTCCCCAGCCTCTTTCCCAATAGCATATTAAAACATGATCCGGTGACTTTTTTTATATCTGTATGCTGTTTGCACTTTGACCAAGCCATGGTTGTGTTTTATTTAGCTGATCATGTGTCCCACTTGGAGAATGTGTCTGAGGATGAGATAAACAGACTGCTGGGGATGGTGGTGGATGTGGAGAACCTTTTTATGTCTGTGCACAAAGAGGAGGACACTGATACCAAACAGGTCTACTTCTACCTTTTCAAGGTAAGCCAGTGTGTCTCACATCAGTGCAACAGCTCAGATTTACCAGTAACCTTCAGTTTGATCTTTTCAGCTCGGTTCACCATGTGTCCTTATGTCAGGTGGTGGTGTGTTGTTAATTTCTACATTCTTTGCCTTAGCTGCTGAGGAAGTGCATCTTGCAGATGAGTCAGCCAGTTGTAGAGGGGTCCCTTGGAAGTCCACCTTTTGAAAAGCCCAACATTGAGCAGGTGAACAAGAAACTAAACACATCTTCGGGTCACATCTAGATGTTTTGCTCTAGCTGAAAAAGCAACAGGAATATACAGAGTATTTGTAAAGGTATGTGGTGGCCTATGTGCACCATTTGTGGGAAAACAATTTGTGACCACAGGCTATTTTATGCTTAGCTTCTGCATCATTACACTTCATGTTTATGTTACTCTGTATCTTAATTATTTCCTAATCATGTTTTCCCTTTTATTTCAAAGGGGGTTTTGAATTTTGTTCAGTATAAATTCAGCCACCTGGCACCAAAAGAAAGGCAGACCATGTTTGAACTGTCAAAGATGTTCCTCTTGTGCCTAAATTATTGGAAGCTGGAGACACCAACGCAGTATCGCCAGCGCACCCAGAAAGATGATGGCACAGCATACAAAGTGGATTACACCAGGTGTGTGCAAGTGTTTTTTTTTTTTTTTTAATCTTTCCTACTTAGTAGGTAGGCTGCTGTGTTTTTATTTATTAAGAATTTCACTGTGCAGTGTAACTGCTTGTTTTTACTGTGCATATGACAACAGATTTAATTTGAAAAGAGTTTTGAATGGTGTTATAAGTTTGTACAATAACTGTTTTCTTCTTAAAACACAAAGGTGGCTGTGCTACTGCCATGTCCCACAGAGTAATGACAGCCTACCACGTTATGAAACAACTCAGGTGTTCGGCCGCAGCTTGCTCAAGTCCATCTTCACTGTGACCCGACGCCAGCTGCTGGAGAAGTTCAGAGTGGAGAAGGATAAACTGCTGCCAGAAAAACGCACACTCATCCTCACACATTTTCCCAAGTAAGGGCAGACTCTTTAAATAGTGTGTCTGAGCATTAATGACAAAAGAAACGACTGAAAATATTTAGTCACTGGCTTGTTGCTTTTCATCTTTTGTCCCATTCCCTTGCTGTTGGTGCTACTTTTAAATTAGGAAAAAAGTACAGTGGTTTTCGCTGATTGTTCAGCTGCATTTGTGGAAATGCTGGTGCAAACTAGGGATGGGCATTTCAAGCTAAAATACTTCATTAAACTTTCTTCTTCAGGTGACAAAACTAGCCACTGACCATTGATCTGCGGACCGCACCCCACTTTCTGCTGGATGCCTCGCCTTCAAATGGCTGCGCATAGTTGTCGATTTATGATATGCTAACTTAACCTGGCAGAGTTTGCACTGCAACTCATTTTTGTTTATTTTCTTGATATACCACACAGACCCTTTTGATGGCTGTAGTCTCTGCATGTTTCTGCTGTTTGTATTTGGTGCTGTAGTAAAATTATATACTGACCTTGTTATCGTGTTATTTACAGTCACCGGTGAAAACAGTGGCCCTTTGAGTTTAAAGACAAAACCATACCGTGACATAATAAAAAAAAATGTAAATTTAATGACTATTCAAATGTTTGAAAATCATTGCCCATCCCTAATGCAAACAATCTGTATCAGCTTCAGCTGATATGTGTTGGGAAAAGTCAGCTAGTTATATTACCTTCAAAAGGCTCAGTCACTGTTACTCAGGATTTACATCTGTGCACAAGTGTAATGGGCAGGCAGTACGAATCCCTAGATTAGACCTGGCTGTATTTGTTACATTTCTGCATGTGTGTTGTCAGGTTTCTGTCCATGCTGGAGGAAGAGATCTATGGTGAGAATTCCCCCATCTGGGAGGCTGACTTCACTATGCCTACCTCAGATGGCACACAGCTGGGACATCAGACAGGTGAGGAAGGGTGCACAGTGTGGCAGTGTCTGTTTAGTAGGATGAGAGCAGGCAGTGTACAAATATTCGTAATGGGAGAATGGAGCCTTATGAAGCTCTACTCTAGGGTTGTTTTCCAGTTTTTTGCAGAAATAAAGATTTGTTGCTTCAGGGCAAAGTGATTATGGGGACATCTGGTGGTTTGCATAACCTATAGCAGCTTTTGAAGACTTGAGGTGGAAGCACCACAGTGAGTCCTGTGTATAAATAAGGTCCAGGAAGCCTGGGTCGTATTAAAGTTGTAATACTTTTTTTCAGAAGAGCTAAATTAAATGTAGATGTCACTGTACAATATGTTACATTAAAATAATAAATGAACTATCTAAAAATCACACACATATATATAATATCGGTGTACTGTTTTGGCCCAGTATATCTTTGGGCCCAAGCGTTTTAATTCATGGTTGATATTGATGGAACATTTAATGTGTTTTACAGTGTGATGTGATTGAAGAATGGTATTTATTGAATTAGAGGATTACTTTTATTTGACTGTTATTTGGTATTAGGTGGAAATGTTCTCATTTATTTATCTTTGTAGTATTCATTGCTGTATATTTCAGTTACTCTTCTCTCTTCTTGTCCCACTGATGTCCATCACATATGATCACATTGTTTAGCTTTGTACTTCAGCACTTCCTTTGCATTCTTCATTTGATCCGAGCACCGACACAGTGTGTTGCAAACGATGCCCTTCGCAGGATTGAAATAACAAAAAGGCAAACACAAAATTTCACAAAATGCCTTAACATTTTATATAACAAAACAGCAAAAAAGATAACATAACATTCCAAATTATAGAAGAAGTAGGGACAATAATTATCGCTTGTGGTTCAGATTATGTGGAAGTGACCTCACTGATGCACTGACAGTCCTCTGCTACTCAACTAATTTCAAACTGAGTTTGAAGGTAAAAAAAAATAAAAAAAAATGATAAGAGGGCATTTCAGTGGAGGTGATAGTGTTTGAGAAAACAGACCTTATTTATGTGTATGACTCATTAAGAGCCATGCAGAAGTAGCTTTGGTATCTTGTGAAAGCAGTATATATATAAAAAATTCTAAATATGTAGGTATACATGTTAATATACTGTATGTACAAATATATGGCTTTAGCTGTTGTTGCACTTTCTACTGTATAGTTGTACAGTTTGTAATGAATGTCCTGTGCCTTGGTGTGTTTATTGCAGTGATCAGCCCTGCTGCGGTGTCCGGTTCCCCCGCTCTGTCTAAAGGTTTGAGCAGTGTCTCTTCTCTGGGCAGCATGGACACTGGAGGTACAGAGCCCATCCCAGGTCCGTAGGCACTGCTCTACCTCTTTGATTCTTTGTTGCTGTTATATCTTCAGGAGGTGCAGTTAAATGACTATATGTAGGAATTTTATTAAACGTTGAAAGTCATTCTAAAGCACTCAACACACACCTGTTTTTAAATACTTAAACATAAATGTGCGTATTGAAAATCAGAAAAGTAGCAGTTATTGTTAATCGATCACTGACAGTTCTCATTTCTAATTGTTAGCTGTATCCCCCCATTGCTGTCATCTGAGGAATGTCACTGTCTGTTCAGGAGAGAAACGGAAACTTCCTGAGGCGCTGACCCTCGAGGATGCTAAGCGGATCCGTGTGATGGGAGACATTCCCATGGAGCTGGTCAATGAAGTCATGATGACAATCACTGACCCTGCTGCTATGCTCGGACCAGAGGTAAATCATTTAACCTCGTTACTTGTTAAAGACAAATGAGCTGTGTTGTTTTTGAAATAAACTTCAACTGTAGCACTGACAGATTGTCTATAATGCTAGACTAATCTACTGACGCCAAACGCTGCCCGTGATGAGACTGCCAGGCTGGAGGAGAGGCGGGGCATCATAGAGTTCCATGTCATTGGAAACTCACTTTCCCAGAAGTCCAACAAGAAGATCCTGATGTGGTTGGTCGGCCTGCAGAATGTCTTCTCTCATCAGTTACCCCGCATGCCCAAAGAGTACATCACACGGCTGGTGTTTGACCCGTAAGTATTCAATTCCAGTAGGAGTCGTACCACATGGCACGTGCAGATGTGTGCACATTGTCCTGACATCCTCCAACTTTCACAGGAAGCACAAGACCCTGGCCCTCATCAAAGATGGCCGTGTCATTGGAGGCATCTGTTTTAGGATGTTTCCCACTCAGGGCTTCACGGAGATCGTCTTCTGTGCTGTCACATCCAATGAGCAAGTTAAGGTACATGACCATTTACCCTCATGAGATGCAGTGGTCTAAATAATGTGTATTCTGTAGTAACTGTAAAAAAAATAGGACCTAAACATACCTTGGAAAAAAAAAAACTACAACGGATCAGTTGGTATGCACTGTATATGTACCAATGGATAAGTTTAATGTCAGCCGTGACGCCACCTCTCTTTATCTGTTTAACAAAGCATTGACATTTAGAAAGATCAGAATAATACTGAAATGTCTCACATTTTTCTCATTGTCCCCTCCCTGGTAATTTTTATATAAGGGCTATGGTACCCACTTGATGAACCACCTGAAGGAGTACCACATCAAACACAACATCCTCTATTTCCTCACTTACGCTGATGAGTACGCCATTGGCTACTTCAAGAAGCAGGTACTGTAGACATTCTGATTCTAATGACCCATACATTAGCTCTGCCCGCGCCCTCTCCCTCGAGCCTTCCTTTCTGTAATATGTTCTTTTCCCCCAGGGCTTTTCCAAAGACATCAAAGTGCCAAAGAGTCGATACCTGGGATACATCAAAGACTACGAAGGAGCGACCCTCATGGAGTGTGAGCTGAACCCAAGAATCCCCTACACTGAGCTTTCTCATATCATTAAAAGACAGAAAGAGGTATGTAAGGCCGTCTCTCATTAAGGCAGACTTATTCTCTGAATTTTTAATACCTCATGAACCTGAAATTGTTATACCAGATTATTAAGAAGCTGATTGAAAGGAAACAGAGCCAGATCAGGAAAGTTTACCCCGGTCTCACCTGCTTCAAAGAGGGAGTACGACAGATTCCAGTGGAGAGCATCCCAGGCATAAGTACATGTTTGGTTTGTGTACAGTGGAATCATTATTTCATTCAAAACTGACATTTTCATATTTATTACAAGTCTTTTTTCTTCCAGGAGAGACAGGCTGGAAACCCAGTATTAAGGACAAAGGGTAAAATCCTTTCATATTTTATTTTTTTAAATCAGCGCTGTTGTATTTAGGTGTTTCTGTTCCTAGCAATGTAAAAATCTGGTACTATGTAGAAGCACCGTGGAATGGAATCAGGTTCTGTTTGTGTGGTAGCGTTTATCCAGTCATTTTCTTTGTTTAGCTTTGTCAAATGCACAGGGTTTAGAAGCAGTAATAACTATACTAGATGAGGAAAGCCATAAATTAGAAGCTATTGTGTAGATGTTTCATGTGATAAGATGAGGGAACTCACATGCAGTGGTGTTTTTTGCGTTTTTTGTCCGAGGTGGGTGTCATAAAACTCACAGGATCAAATTAAACACATTCAAATGGCTTTAAAAGTGCATTAACTGAGATTTTACACATTGTCTCCTAAGTGAAAATGGGATTCTCTGCTGGCTACAGTGCATCTGTATTTATTCCAGCTTCTCTGTGTTGTCAAAGTGCAGTCTCTAAATTAGCTAGCAAAGAAGCGCAAGTAGGCCTGTCAAACAGCCAGCCATGGAGGAGCTCTCAGCAGCTAAAAGTTAGAAACAGTGACTGCCAGACCAACGAGGTAGTGTTCTTTGCACGGAGAGAGAGACACACAAGCAAAAATCAGGGTTGACATTGGTTTGGCTTTTTGGAGACTCTTAAAAGCCACCAGAGGACTCAGATTTTATTCAAATGTTGCATTCTTCTTTCTAGATGCATTAGCATCTAAAGCTAATGTGTTTGTCTTGGTAATATTAGTGACCTAGCACAGTCATGATTTTACCATTGTACTCAATATGATTTTAATTTTAGAATAATTTAATATTTGTGTAAGATTAGTGATTTGTGTGGTATCAGCAGTAACCGGAGCATTATACTGGACTGCCAGTTTTACTCATAAATCAGCTAATGCTAGCTTCAAACTGGAGGCTGCATTTTGTTTAGTTGGTTGCAACCAGGCATCTGTAGTTTGTTGTCACTAGGAAACGGGGTGTTCTGGGAGGACCAAAGAGCAGTTAGAAGCGGCTTATTGTGTCGGTTTTGAGTCTCACTAGGCTAGGTTTAGGGCGGCAAGTGGCGCAGCGATTAACACTGTTGCCCCCACAGCAAAAAGGTTCTGGGTTTGATCCTTTCTGTGCAGAGTTTGCATGTTCTCCCTGTGCCTGCGTGGGTTCTTTCCGGGTACTCTGGCTTCCTCCCACAGTCCAAAGACATGCAGCTCAGATTGACTGGCAACTCTAAATCGCCCATAGGAGTGAGTGTTGGCGTGTGTGGTTGTTTGTCTACATGTCAGCCCTGTGATTGACTGGCGACCTGTCCAGGGCGGACCCTGCCTCTTGCCCAATGTCAGCCGGGATTGGCTCCATTCCTCCAATGTAAAATATTGTCAGTCCTGTTCATTCCAGTATGTATTGGATTACTTTGCATCACTTCATTTAGAAACACTGTATGTAAGTGTGGTCCTTAAGCTATTCATCAAAGTGTGGTCAATATTTTTGCTTATGTACCTTTTTTTTTGTAGGAAAGAGGTAAAGGACCCTGATGTGTTATACAACATGCTGAAGAACCTCCTGGCCCAGATTAAAGTAAGTCACCTTGACACCAGACAGGAAAACACCACAGGGGTAACGAGAGCTGAGGCTAATCAAGACATTCATGTCTCCAACAGACTCATCCTGACGCCTGGCCCTTCATGGAACCAGTGAAGAAATCCGAGGCTCCTGATTACTACGAGATCATTCGCTTTCCCATTGGTTCGCAATCATCTGTTTGATTTTACAGCTTTTCCTGTTACAGATGACTTTTATTTATTTTTATGTCACAGAAACATTATATTAGTAATAGTAATTTACATTTTTCTTTCCCCCCCATAGACCTGAAGACCATGACAGAGAGACTCAAGAACAAATACTATGTGACCAAGAAGCTTTTTATTGCCGACCTGCAGCGAATCATCACAAACTGCCGCGAGTACAACCCTCCAGACAGCGAGTACTGCAAGTGTGCCAACACCTTAGAGAAGTTCTTCTACTTCAAATTAAAAGACGGAGGCCTGATCGAGAAGTGAACTCAGCCACCACATTATTTACAGATTCCTTAACAGACGAGGAGCAGCTGCCACAGCTGCCACATGTGAAGATGAAGCATCACTAGTTAATGTCATATCTGAGTTAATAAAAGGGTATGTACATGACTGACATATTTTACAAGAGAATCGTTGGGCTCTAACAGACATGAGGAAAAATCAGAGCCAGTTGAGCATTTCAAGGTGTCAAAATGGCTTTTTTTTTTTTTTTTTTTGTTAATTGTACCAAAATTATAGGTCCAAGTTATAACAATGCCACTTTTTCAAGCATTATTTATAGAATGATTAACCTGGTTTTGTCGCATTTAATAATTGTTCATTCCTATTAGCTTGTCATTTGAGCAGGTGTATCTGTAGTGTAGAGTTCTTTGACTTTGGGACCTAAAGCCACGTTGCCTTGTGTTACTGACAGACACTTGAACATCCCAGCCATTTTCATGGCTATAAAGATAAATGTTCTTTTAGTCATTAAAACAGATGAGCAGGCCTGTGACTGTTGGGTAGTGCTGAAATGATTTGATCAGTAGATTGGTGAGAAATAAATTCATAACAATCATTAGTTGTTTATGAAGTGCAGATATTGAACGTTTACTGGTTTTAACTCCTCAGGAGTGAAGATTTCTTTTTTCTTTTAATTCAAATGCATATAGAACATGTTGAATTTGTTTAGGTCAGAATTAGCAATTATCTTAGCCTCAGCTTGTGACTCTGTTGCATACATGAGTCACAGGTGATCTTTCTTGAGCTTTCAGAATTGAAACTTGCTGACGGTTTTATCCCCGTAATATAATTTTAATGAGTTTCTCAGGTCATAGTTTGTTTTCAGTTAAGCAAAAATGATGACAGGAAATTATGCCATTTTTATGAAAATTGAGCATGACTGGATTATTTAAACCTATTATTATTATTGTCTATTGAATGTATTATTAAAAATTAAGTGAAATTATTATTGACATTGTTAGTTTAGAGTCTGAGGATTCAGGAAATACCTTCACAGTTTGGGCGAGTGTCATGAAACGATGGTACAAGGTTAAAATGTTCTGCAAATTTCGGTTCCGTAAGCTCATGCAAGATTATCTCTGTGACTCGAGTGTATGGGGCTGTTATCATTCTAGGCTCTATGAACATCACAGACAAAATTCTGCTTTACTAAACAGCCAGTAGGTTATGGAAATATTATATCAGATTAGCCAGTTATAACAATAATTGTAGGCTGCAGCCCTGCTCCTGAGTTGTCACAAACATTGCTAGGACTGCTAAGGACTGACTGGGCATCAAAGATTTCCAGCACTTCTGTGCTAACTAAAACGATTTCCCCAATTGTCACTATCAAGATAACACTGTTTTCATGTTGACAACATAATAGATGCTTATTTATACAGTAAATGTAACATATACTATTTATGCACCATGTTCCACTGAAAGGGTTTTATTCCAAATCTTTTAGGAGGAGGCCACACGTTCGTATGGCTTTTACTGTGCTTGCAGGGAATACTGTAAGCTCCACTTTGTTCTGCAGTACAGTCACTTCCACACATAAATGGCAAATAGTCTATTTAGTGTACAGCCACATTTCTGTGGTGCCATCACAAGTTTACTAGATAGTTTAGGTTTAATTAAGAGCCAGCCATGGTGGGGGAGAAGCTAACAGCAGTCCTCTGATTCAGGACTTTTGGAAAGGAGTTAACTCTGGTTTATTCACTTACACAAGCTATAGTACAGTAAAGCCCAAAATTATTCATACCCCTATGAAAAAAACAGTACTTTGCTATTTGTTTATTTTATCAGTCAAGCTTCTATTTATAAAGGCCTTACTTAATTATCTTCAGTTGGAAGGCACAAACCTTAATATATCTCAGATTTCCATTATTTGCATAGAAGTAGAATTATTGGAATGTTGATTTTTATGCCAGTTCATAATCATTCATACCCCTCACTGTTTGTGACAATACAGTTGTTTAGCGCTCTTGTTGGCTTCTACAATGATTCCAAGCCGTTCCATCATCTAGAAAATTCTGACATGGCTTACGGGCTATAAATTTGGAGATACTGATGCAGTTATTGGCAGTTTGTGGTCAGCAGGGAAATGTGTGCTATGGCCAAGAAGAAAGAACTCGGTGAAGACCTTCATTGATGTATCACAAGGAGGGAGAAGGCTACAAGGCTATACCCAAGCAATTTCAAGTGCCAGTGGCCACAGTACAGAGCATCATCAAGAAGTTCCATACTGTTAAAACCCTTGGGGGATGTGGTTGGAAGCCAAAGGTGTCACCTAAACTGGCTAGTATTGCAAGAGGCTAACAAGAATGCATGGATCACCACCAAGGCTACCCTGAAGAATTTGAGCAGTGCTAGGACCAAAATATCATGGCAGACTCTCCAGTGGGTGTTGCACAAGGGTTGGGGTCTCCTGGAACCCAGGCACTTAAAAAGTTGTTTAGCCTTTGCAAAGGCTCATTTGGACAAAGATCTGAGTTTCTGGTTGTCAATTCTATGGTCAGATGAGACTAGAATGGAGCTTTTTTTGGAACAGGGATGTGGTTTTTGTTTGGCGGGAAAGGTGAAGAGTTCAACCCAAAGAATAGTCCTGACAGTCAAGCACGGTGGTGGGGGTATAATACTGATCCTAGAGAAAACATCAAACTGGCAGCAAAAAACTTGGCTTTGGGCAGATTTGGACATAACAGCAAGAAAGTGATCCAAAGGAAACTGCAAAGTGGATCAAGAAATGGTTCCTGGACAATAATGTAAATACTCTGGACTAGCCAAGCCAGAGTCCAAACCTAAATCCAATTGAGAATCTCTGGAGGGAGCATAAAACCCGTGTGATGACAAGGAACCCTTCCAACCTCCAAGACCTGCAGGCCTTCGCAAAAGAAGAGTGGGCTGAATTTCCTGTAGAGACATGCAGCAACCATGTAATTAAGTGCATGAATCATTTGGAGCCTGGAATTTCCAACAGAGGCTTTGCAATTCATTACTAAGCAAGAGTAGGATTAATTCTGGACATGACATTTTGTAAATCTGTCAAATACAAAAAATTGATTGTATTCCATGAAATATCTTTTGCAGTACTTCTTTACAGCCTATTGTAACTTTTGTATGTCACTTCAATCAAAATACATTTCTCCCAAAAACAATTCCCAATTCACAATTGTAAAATTGGTATGGGTATGAATAATTTTGGGCTTAATTGCAGGTGTTGATGCATGGTGGACAGTTTACACTTTGTATTTATAGAAACTATCAAACTTTTTGTGACAGTTGTTGCAACTTTTTTAAATGCACACATTGTAATGAAATGTTGGAAAGATGTTTGTTTGCCATTCAGTGTCTCTTCCTGAGACACATTGGCTTTTATGGGAATTAAGTGTCCAGTGCTGGTTGAGCCTGCTTGTTGAATGTGTTGTTGACTAGTGTGTTATTTTGTGTGTATGAGTGGGTGTTTATTATGTAACTTAAATCACAACTAGCTTTGAATTACGGAGATGATGTCAGAGTTGCATTTTTCAGGGCTGTGAATTGCTTAATTCTCCTACAGTATACCTACGCTACAGTTCAGATTTTCTTAAAAAGTTAATTTGTTTAAATTTTCCACCTATTTGAGGATGGCTACTGTTAAGGTGTATGCCATTTACTGTAACTGATTTTCTTTTTTTAAATAAACAATTCCTAAATGTGCAGGTGGTTCCTAAGCTGTTAGTAAACACTTAAACAATGGCAAGAAAACCCAATCATGCAGAGATGAACTTGACTTGGACTCCAGTCAGAAGGCTCGGAATTTTTGACTTGACACAATAAACAAAACAAACAAACAAAAAACATTTTTATTGTGGTTTTACTTGATATTGTCTGTCATAACTTGGACTATGATTTGAAACCAGCAACAAATCACTCAAACCTGGCAAAGACCCAGGGCTGAAGTATTAGGCCTTGTTCAGGAAAGCTCTCCTACATAGTCATGGCCAGTTCACAGATTACCGTAAATGTAAGACAAATTGTGCACTCGGAAAACAAGAGCAGCTGTTGTAACCAAGCAAAAACTAATGGTGGCTCACATGACCACTGTGGGTTACTCAGCACTGACCATATTCTAGCTGAAGCTATGAAACAAAAACTTGCATTTATGTTAGAAATTAACCCAATTCTTTTGTTGGAAGCATGAGAAGTGAAGACAGGAGAGGACTGTTTAAAATTAACCAAAGGTTTACTGAAAGTCTGAGTACAGTGAAGTCATTACAGCGCTGGGATCAGAGAGACAGAGCTCCCGCAGGAGATCCGACTTCTCTGAACCTCGAATTAAGTTCTTACAATACATTTTATCTTCTTGGGCTGCTCTGCCCTGGACAGGGGTGCAACCTTCAATAGTTTGTGATCCTATTGATCATTTTGCGTGAGCCAGAGTTCGCACTTCCATGTTGGAATATGGTAAATCTAGGTGTGTGTGTGTGTGTGTGTGTGTGTGTGTCAGGTGGCAGCTTGGTCTTGATCAATGGACCCCCGAACCATGGGTGGCCTGAGTTGCAGGCCTCCCCTTTATGTATGATGCTAATAAGTATGCTAAACTGACCATGTGGTCATCTCAGGTTGTAGCCCCCTGGCGCTGCAGGACATCCCAAGACAAAGCAGAATCTTGGAATATGCTAAGTGGGTCTAGGTATGAGTGTAAAACAGGCCAACAGGTCTCTGTTAAAATGTAAATAGGCTGTCTGGTCACAAGGAGATGCAGACATCCTGTCTCTACAGAGAAGTTACAGCATTCAAAGTATGCAGATTCTACTTAATTACAGTTGTAAGATATATAAGCAAGGGAAATAAATGTATTAAAATAACCCAAGCTCAGTAGTTCTGGACAATCTTCAATACAGCTGTAATATGTATAGACAAGGAAAATAAAGTTATGAAAAGTAACTAAAGGGAACTAATGGTATGAGAAGTAACTAAAGCTGATAAAGTAACTAGAGTCCATAAGACTCATATCTTACATTTAGGTTAACTTTATTTGTTAGGCTAAATTACCTGTCCAGCAGATAACAGGCAACTTTGGCATCATTCTGGAAATATTTGTACCTCCTTAAGGATTTCCATCTGGAAAAGATCACACCAATGTTTATCCTCATCTTGTGCCGTCACCTACACAACTTCTTTGTGCCTCTGCTTCTTTGATAATAGGAATTCACGCATTCTTCCCGTTTCTTGTGTTAAAGTATAACTCTGATCCTCCAATGTATCAAATTATAGTTCTTAAACTCATGACAATGCTTCCTCTTGTTTGTAACATTACTTATTCATTATCCAAGCATCTCTCCTATCCCTTAAAGCTCATCTGTCCAGGCTTTTCACCACTGATGTACACATTTATTTAATGTAACAGTATTCAGGATTTACATTCACTGGATGCTGCATTTATGCTGGTGTTGGGTGACATTTTAATTAAGAAAAACACCAAATCGTGCGCTGCCCTTACTGTCTTCAGTGACTACTTTTAATTAAAGTCTGATCAATTATTAAGAATTAGTTTTGAACCTTCTATTGTGCATCTGTAGCTAAAGCAGAGCCTGGGTGTGTTACTGTGTGTGTGCCAGTAGGCTGTAGGTTTTGTTTTCCTGATGTAATAAAAAGCCACAGGCGCGGCCCAGTCAGAGTAGGCACCAGATAGTCTGGTAAAGTTTGTAGTTCGTGGCGTCTCCTTTTTAATTTTCAACAAAGCTCATCAACTTTCAGCCACATACACAAAATAAGCATACAACCACCCATGGGTAGTTTGTAAAGGGTTGGTAAAAGTCTTCGTTATAGTCACTGAATTTCAGGCTTTGTGTGTCGCTGCATAATGAAGACTAGCGGTTGTACCTCCAGAGCCTCCAGCAGGGCGGTTCTGCAGTACAGTAAGTTTTCCTTTTGTTTCTCTGATAACTGAGCTAAGAAAATAAAACTAAACTGTAGCCATTCAATCTAGTTCTTATACTTTCCTGAGAAATTGTGTTCACACAGCTTTTTAGCAAGTGCTAATTCATTCATCATGGCATTCCACCTCTTTTGTGCATTCTTTTGTTGGAAGCACAAGAAGTGAAGACAGGAGAGGACTGTTTCAAAACAACAGAAAGTTTACTGAAAGTCTGATCACAGATTGAGTCTTACAGCACTGGATTCAGAGAGACAGAGCTCCGGCAGGAAAACCAAGTTTTGGATCCTGAATGAAGTTTTTACCACACATTTATCTTCCTGGCTGCTCCACCCTGGCCAAGGGTGCAAGCTTCAATAGTTTGTGATCCTATTGGCCATTTGGTGTGAGCCGGAGCTCACACTTCCATGTTGGAATGTGGTAAATCTAGGTGTGTGTGTGTGTGTGTGTGTGTGTGTCTCAGGTGGTTGTGTCTCAGGTGGCAGCTTGGTCTTGATCAATGGACCCCCGAACAATGGGCGGCCAGAGTTGCAGGCGTCCTGTATGTGTGATGCTAATAAGTATGCTAAACTGGCCAGGTGGTCATCTCAGGTTGTGAGCCTGAACAATAAGGCTATGAAAAATAACTAAAGGTATGAGAAGTAACTATAGCTGATAAAGTAACTAGTCTATAACACTCAAATCTTACATGTTTTAAGGGATCTTTTATGTATATTTTGTTTATTGTGTGTAAATAACATGAATTTGTATTGGTTTTAATCATTTTAATTAGTATAATATAAAAATGTCATTTTTTCTGATTGGATAATCTGTTTGCTGCATCTGTTTGCTCCAGGTGTTATTTTTCATTATTTTTAAGCACTGAAGACAGTAATATTGCCAAAATGTTAACTAAAGGGAGTTCATTCAGGGGATTAACTTGGCTTTTAGCTGATACTGTTTTCTTACTGTACCTACACTATGTTCTGCAAAACAGTGATGCACAACAGGACCAAAAAGGTAACGGGAGGCCATTAAGCCAGTCAGACAAGTTATTTGGGGATTTCCTGCATCAACACTAACAGGCTGTAAGTTTTGTTTTTTGATGTAATGAACAATAGATAGGGCTGTCTGGGAGGCACCTGCAAAACCTGGACTTTTTCAACACAACAAAACAGGTCAGGGGTAAGCCACTAATGAAGTAAACACAAATAAATAAATATAGGCTTTTATATGGCTTTATTAAAAAGGGATTTGAAAGGCCTAGTTTCCTACTTTGTGTCAGTGTAGTTCAGGCTTTTCTTGCCACTGCTCAGGAGACTATCTGTTGTTCCTCCAGAGCCTCCCTCAGCAGTGCCACTTTTCTGAGTTCAAAGGGCTTTTACTTTCGTTTTCCTGCTTTGTCATGACGCATCTGATCATAACAGAGTTAAAACCCTTCTGCCTGAACTGTGTGGCCATAGTGGACTACGAAAATCTGAAGACACCACACAACTGACAGGTGAGTTAATACAAGCTGACATCTTTTCTAACAGCTCATAGATAAATATGACAGAGTAGCTCATTCAACATGCTTCTCTCACAGAATGCTTTTTTTTGTCATCAGCTTTACTCTGACATAGACTATTTGGTGTTGATGATCAGAACTGTTTTGTTATATGATCTAGTATCAGTTTCCTTCCTGCAATTCTGTGTCATTCTGAATTGTTCTCAAACACACAGGGGTAAAGTGTAGGATGGCAGATTTTACACTCCGTGGATACCAGGAGGAAGTGGTTGAAAAGGCTCTTCAGGGAGAGAATGTAATTATTTGGCTGCCAACAGGAGGTGGCAAGACTCGTGCCGCTGTGTATGTGGCCAAAAGACACTTGGAGACCACACCAGGAGCTAAAGTGGTGGTCCTAGTAAACAAGGTACACAGAACACACAAACCAGACAACAAAAACAGTACAGGATGAATTTTGTTTAAAAGAAGAAGAATATTAAAAGCAAATTTCAAGCAGTGTGGCCAAAGAAGGCTAAAACTGTATTACTAGAGCTTAAATGTGTTTTTGATGTATTCTATACTGTAGGTTCACCTTGTAGAGCAACATTACACCAAGGAGTTCAAGCCTCACCTGGGCCATAAATACACCCTGGCACCAGTCAGTGGGGAAAGTGAGGAGAAAGATTTCTTCGGGAATGTTGTACGAGACAAGGATGTGGTCATCTGCACAGCACAGATCTTGTATAATGCGCTGATTAACACAGAGGAAACCAAACATGTTGAGCTCTCAGGTTGGTAACAGTAAGCTTTAACAGCTTTGATTATGACGTTGTAATGACAAGGTAAAATGACCCTTTATGGTTCCTTACAGATATTACTCTATTGATAATTGATGAGTGTCACCACACCAACAAGGAGAGCGTGTACAACAAGGTAATGAGATGCTATGTGGAGAAGAAGTTGAGAGGAGAACGTTCACTGCCACAGATACTGGGTCTTACGGCATCACCAGGGACAGGGGGTGCGACGATCCTGGATAAGGCTGTTGAGCATGTCCTGCAGGTCAGGGTCTACATATTGAATGTTATATTTGTAACTAATAAGAGTCGGCCTGTCTGATCTCCCACAAGTCTTTTCTTATTTGTCTTTCTCTCCCTCAGATTTGTGCCAATCTGGATTCGGTCATAGTTTCAACTAAAAACTATACCTGTGAGCTGAAGCAGGTGGTTCCCATGCCCATGAAATCATTTGACATTGTGGAGAAAAGGCTTGAGGTAGGCAAATATTTCTCTCTTTCTAATTTTAAAAATTAAAACCGCTATTTGTAGAATTTGGTAAATCTTTCAAACTAGGTATCCTTGACATGGCAACTGATCTGAATTGCGGACATTAAAAAGAATCGGATGAAAGCAACAAACTGTCTTAAGTTTCACTGGGATTGTATTGTACAAACAAAAAGCTATGCTACTGTAAGCTTGATATAATTACATGCAATTTCTACATATACAGTAGTGTAGAAAGACTTTTTTTCTTGCAGGACCCATTTGGGAATCATCTGAAGTGGATGATGCAGCTGATCCATGAGTTCATGAACCTTCCTCAAGACTTCAAACTGAGAGAGTGTGGCACACAAGAGTATGAGGCAGATGTGGTGACTCTAGAGCAGCGAGGTAATGTGACATTATTTTTTGAGGGTGTTCCCTTGTGAGAGCGAGGAGAACACAGTTATCTTTGTAACTGTATGTGAGGTCAATGAAATGCCAATCAAATGTTTAGAGAAAGTAATTATTTTGTTGGCACCCATGTTATTTTTGTACTGCTTGGTTCAGGGGTAAAAGAGGACAACAGAATACTAGCACAATGTGCACTCCACCTCAGACAGTACAATGATGCCCTGCTCATCAATGACACCCTGCAAATGATGGATGCTTATAGCTCCCTAGAGGATTTTTACTTCACAAAGTCCACCAGAGCTATTGATGGAACAGACTTCTTCCTGGTGGGACTTTTCCAAGGTGGGAATGCAGAAATTTGTATCGCTTGTCTTGATATATTCAGCTGAATCATTTTAAGTCATGTTGTAGCTTCCAATGTAATTTTCACTTTGTAAGCACACATACAGTAAACACCACTGTCTGTTACACAGAGAATCAGGTGGAGTTGAAGAACCTTGCGAGCGATTCTCGCTATGAGAACCCCAAGATGGCCAAACTTGAGAGTGTTCTGCTAAAACAGTTTGGGCCAGGTGTGCAGTCAAGGGCCATCCTCTTCACTAAGACCCGTAAAAGCACCCACTGCCTACATAAGTGGGTCAGAAGCAATAGAGCCTTGCAAGAATCTGGTATCAAGGCAGCTATCCTGACTGGGGCTGGCAATGGTATCACTTACATGACACAGGTGTGCTGTCACATGACCTTCATTTCTATGAGCTAAAGTCATCCAATTCCATTAACAACCTATATATGGGTATGTGCTTCTGTTTTGTATGACTTAGCCTTTGCATATTGTTATTTACATTACTTCCTTATAGAACGAGCAAGCGGACACAATTCGCAATTTCCGCCAGGGTATTCTCAACCTCCTGATCTCCACCAGTGTGGCAGAAGAAGGTCTTGACATCCCTGAGTGCAACCTGGTGGTACGCTATGGACTCCTTACAAATGAGATTGCTCAGCAGCAGGCCAGCGGACGTGCCCGAGCGCGAGACAGTCAGTATTCTGTGGTTGCCCAGGCAGGGGGACGGGAGGTGCGCCGAGAGCACATCAATGAATATCTGGAAGAGCTGACTGCAAAAGCCATTGCTAAGGTCCAAGATATGGGCCCTCGAGAGTTTCGCCACAAGGTGAGGGTGCGGTACATTGTACATTCGTATCTCTTGTTTTCACTGCTCAGAATTTCTGCCATTACCTTTTATTCTTCTCCTCCAGATTAAGGAACTACAAATGGAGGCAGTTAATTGTAGTAAAATGGCAGAGAGCCTCAAAGCAGAGAAGAGGAGTCGCTACACTGCTTCCAGTATCCAGCTGTTGTGTCGAAACTGTTTCAAGCCTGTGGCCTCTGGCAGGGACATTAAACTTGTTGATAATGCACACTATGTCAATGTCAATCCTGACTTTAAGTGAGTCAAACTCCTTGTGGTACAAGAGTTCATGCAGTATATTCATATTCAAGTATATCCAGGTTGAAGTTTACTGCTCTAATCATGGTTTGTCTTTGTTCTCAGGAGACACTACAAAGTCGGTGGGAATGTGGTACTAGACAGGAGCTTTGAGGACTGGGAGCCCGGGTGCGTTATCAGTTGCAGTAATGGCAACTGTGACCAGGTACAGTGGACCTTTGCCAAAAATTAATTTAAAATTCAGAAACAAACTGTCCTGCTCATAGCATTTTGTCAAGAGATCTGATATTGATTCTCACTGTGTACGTTGTCATTTGAGTGTTGATCTTATGTAAATTCACAGCAATGGGGATTTGAGATAAAATACAAGAAGACGGCCGTGCTGCCCAATTTAGCCATTAAGAAATTTGCCCTGGAGACCCCTGATGGAAGGATCACTGCAAAGAAGTGGAAGGATATCCCCTTCACCATTGAAGACTTCAACTATATAGAATACTGTGAAGCCAACTATGCTGACATATACGATTGAGACATCAAGGAGAGAGCTCTGTGCAACCTTTTTTAAATATGTTTTTACATTCCAGTCAATCGGTGATAGCTTGCATGTGCTCATATTAAAAACAGACAAACAAACAAACAAAAAAACCATTGTGCTCTTTAAAGTGCTCCACACTGGCACTTATGTGTGTTGTTATGTGTGCTGTTGGGCCAGTGAGGCAGCAATGTGCTAAAATCCATTATGCATCGATCATGCTTGAAATTAGCATGACAGCTTTGTTTATGCCCAAGGACCGAAATAATTTTACACGTCTTTGTGTATATTTTGTGTATATATCAGCTTAAGTCAAATACAGATACAAAGCATAAAATGAACTCTGCTGTAACATGAATGTTAACCATCACGGACACTTGACATGTCATCATGACTCTCTTTCAGGTATTTTATAAATGTTTTTAATTCTGATTACAATGAATTTTTAAATAGTGGATGCAGTAGTATATGCTGTTTACTATGGTTGTGTGTTTGTGGTACGCACTAATTTTATACTGATTATCTCATATTGTAGTTATCCAAATGTCTTACAGGAGGTTATTTTAAACATTATTTTATTATTGTCTTCCAACAGTGAAATACCCATTGTTAGTTTAGTTCATCTTATTTTGTAGCTGTAAGTTGAGATGTATAAGTATTCCTCTTATTATTATTTTTGAATTCTTTTACCTTTTTGAACCACTAGATGTCAGTGTTGGTTAGCCAATGACCACACCAAGTCAGATATTTCTTCACACCTTCTGTGACCTCTGAAAAATGCTGCAAACAAAGCCAGAATGTAAATGTTCTCTGTTGGTTTCCAAACTGAAAGCAATAGATCAATGATTCCTGGAGACTCTGAGGTCACAGAAGTGAATCTGAAATCCCAGATGTGCTAAAAAAAAAAAAAAGGATGTCAAGGAAAGTGAAGGTGTCATTCTCTATTCCCACTCACAAAACTTTGCTCATGTGCTTGCATAAGGCGCTTTATCCACAGTGCAAGATGGTCTCTGAATGTGTAAACTATACCATGAAAAGATTTGATTATGTTGTAAACTGAATTTTATACTGTGTATCTATGTCTTCATGTACTGTATGCTTTGTTGGAGGTATATATATATATATATATAAATAAATAAACTGAATTTTATACTGTGTATCTATGTCTTCATGTACTGTATGCTTTGTTGGAGGTATATATATATATGTATATATAAATAAATAGCTCTGTATCTACAATGTCTACAAGAGCTTCTCTTGACAACTGAAAGTTGTTTATTAAGACTTCTGCAGCTCACTGTGCCGCTTCTTCACCAGATCAGTACAGGGTTTTGAATTTCATCTTGGATCATTTAGCACCATCTAAACAGTCTACAAAGTGTAACAGATTTATTAGACTTGCAAATGATCATTTGATACGCTGGCCTCAAAGATATATTTTTATTGCATAATAACCTCACTGTTTCTCAGAACGCTCAAAGCTTGATTTTAGCAATACCCAAAAGACTGATCGTGCACAGTTTCATTTACACTTAGCACAAGTTCACCTATGATGAGCTCTTTCCAAAACAAACCCAGGTTATGAAATGAAGGAAACTACCAAGGAAACAGTTCATTTTAGGCTAGCAACTGTATCGGGTAGATTCATTTTTGACCCACAAAATGTGCGTCTCCAGGCAAGACATGATTAAGTCAACTTCACAATGTCACACATGCTGTAATCCTTTCAAATCTGGCAGAGAGCTGGAGTCAGTAGGGCTGCCACGGACATAATCACGCTAAAAGCGGGCTCTGTTCTGGTGTCATGCCTGTCTCAGATTCAGGCAGGCAGAGAGCCCTATAGCGTATGATTTACTCTGATCAGGCTCAGGCTCTATAATCAACACTGATTACTTCCTTTTACTTCCCAGCTCAACATCCCATGCATCTTAATTGCAATTAGCTCTCTTCTGAAATTAAAGCAGCTTGGAGTAGTTGAGCAAAGGATGATAACATGGCATGCTGTGTGTGTGGGTGTGCTTGTGTCAATTTTGAGGATGCTAGACAGACAATAGACTTCTTGTTATTGGTATCTAGGGCATGCTGTCTACTGTATATGGTGTGCCCACTGTAATAAAGTATAGGAGCATTAAGTGAGTCCGTTTTGAAATTACTTGGCTTTGTTAGAGTGAATGGATCTTAGATGAGAGTGTGAAGGACCTTATTAATTTACAGAAGCAATGTCCAAAAATTTCAATATGGTAAAGAATCAGTTTGCCAAGTTATAACATGGGACTTTGTCCAGTTTAAATTTCAGATCTTGTCTAAAATGCAAAAGTAAAATAGAGTTTATCTGCATGTTTTGACAGAAGCAACAGGAATCCCCTTTCTTTTGGGAGGTGCTTAAAATTAAAGCATGTGCTGGAGCACAGCTTCCCTGTTAGGAGTATTTGTTGTTTTTATCATACACTATATTATAATAAATGATAATAAATCAACTATCTTTGGGGTTTGTACTTTTTGATTGAAAGAACACAATCTGAAGTCCCCCTGGGCTCTTGGGAACTACAGTGGGCATTTTTCCCAACTTGATTTGTCACAGACAAGAAAGCTCAAGGTATGAATCCTGCTCTACCTTGGATGTCACCTGTAATGTGTGATTGACAGGGCCACGGTCCTGGTAATTAGCTACTTGAATTGGAAATTATGCGTTCTGTCAGCCTCTGTGTTTTGTACTCTGCAAGGAAGTGGTATTACAGCAGAAACCCGTCCATTTGGTTGGATTTTTAACAATTAAAATTCCAAAAAAGAACGAGATATTCATTTTCAAAGGGTGTTTCAACTACTCAACACAGAACAAGCTTGTGCACTATGTTTAGTGCGAGATGCCGCACAGCGTTGTTATTTGGTTGAGCTCAGCACCTGGTAAGTGTTTCAGCATTAACTGTGAATTATCAGCTTATTGTTACTTTTAATGTTAAGCAGCTGTTGATACATAAAAAATGTATCTGTTTTCATTGTGCACCCCGTAGCACATGGTTTTATTCCTGAGTATTGTATAGGGAGAGAATTCTATTTATAAATTCCGCTTTGACCTTGCCTCCCATAAAGCCATGCTGCCAGCATGACTGAAAAGAAAACTATTTGCAACTAAAATATTTTTTCTTATTCATTTCATGATATTGTGTCCAGTTTGGGTTTGCATCATTTACATGCCGTACAGTACCACTGTATTGTAAATATTAATGTCTTGTAGGTTTCTCAAAAGACCTTGAAATGGCAGGACACTCAAAAAGATGTTAATCATTCATTCATTTGATAAAAATTGTAAATTCCTTTAACTTTTAAATACACAACAATTATAGGAGTGAACTACACAGCCCATCACTAGATCATTTTCCTGACTGCAGACAGAAGTCGCACCTGTTTGGCCAGTGTCAGACCGGTCTCACATGAAGCAGCATGCTCACACTGTCCACAGGTTTCAACACAGTTGTTTTCTGCTTGCATAGCCTTCACGCATACTCTCTCTCTCCAGGACTTGCACTGCCACAGGAGACAGACAGAGACAATGACAGATGCAAATATCTCGTGCGGTACAGTGAGCTGGCCACCCGGACAGGCATTTCCTCTGGGACTGGTCTACTTGTCAGCGTGCTGCTCGAGCTGTCTGAAAGTTTGCAGTGTTTCTTGTCAACTTTCTTGTAGTTATGATAGGATTTCACTGTCTATTTGCATGGCAACCGCAGTGGATCAGGTTACCTTCAGTAACAAGAAAGGCGATGACATTTGCATAGTGCTTCTGTGTGTTGTTATGAATATCATCTGTGCCTTATTTGTAGTTCAAAGTAGTCATCAAGCTGCTGCCCAGCCTGTGTGCACTGTGAAGCACTGCATAGCTAAGTGTGGAGTCTTGTGGTTTGGATTTGATATTCTGTCTGGTTATGCCTTTTGACCTTTGACACAGAAGTGTCTTAACTACAATCAAAAAGCTCTTGAATGAGTTTCTATATTTTACAGTATGTAACATCCAGATGCTTGAAAATATGTTTGTGAGTAATGCATAGCAACATGAAAGCAATGGTAGTACACAAAACCTTTATCTTTGTTGAGAATGACTTTGACAAGGGCCTAGCTGTGATGGCTGAATACTGGGTCGGAGCGTCTCCCACACTACAGGTCTTGGTGGGTGTTCCCGGTCTACAGTGGTCAGCATCTACCAACAAAGACAAACAGTGAACTGGTGACAGGGTCATGGACGCCCAAGGCTCACTGATATTAAGGTTGACCTACTGTAGATTAAAATTTTAAATTTCATTCATCCTTTTCAAAAGATTCCATTTTGTTTGAATCTTTGTTAAAATGGTTGAAATTGAGAAATACTGTACATCTGTGAGGAGAAACATTCAGCAGCTATAGTGATATGACACCTAGAGTGGGGAGGCTGTTGAATCTGTTGAAAACATTGTCTCTAACTCGTCCTCACGACCACAGTTTTCATTCCTTTTTCATAAGTTTTTCACTGAATGGTCGACACATTCGTGCTCTTCCTGACAGTGGAACTATGGAAGCAAACAGATTCACAGAAGATGCACAGTGAGCTGCAGAGTGACACGAGTGCCAACCAACTGCTGCACTGACTCCTGTGTACACAGTATTAGGCAGGTGGTCAATGTTATGGCTGATTGGTGTACAGTATATGCATGTTTGGTTCAGACTAAAATAAATGTCTTTCAGTTGTCATTCCTTTGTCTCTGCTATTGACAGCACTTTGTCTTTCTAATCCTTGTTATTAATCCATTTGAAGCGCTTCGAGTCATTCAGGCTGGTGGGGATTATTGTGGATTCGTACCACAGCCCAGTGTTTTTTTTTTAACTCCTCTCCACGCTGGTCACTGGAGGATGATTGAGTGTGGCCTTGATTGCATGTGTATTTGTGTGTAAGGGGTTCGGGAGACGTGGGATGGGTGTGAAGGTTAACTGAATTCAGTGAAATTCAAATCAACCCAAATATTTTTTTCAGTTTGACAATAGTATTGAAAAGATAATCAAAGAATAAATTAATAAAAAAAAAAGAGTGACAACTTTAATATAGCACTGGAATGATTAGTCAGCAAAAAAATAACTGTTGGATCATTTTTAAGCAAAAAGAAAATGTACTGCTTCCAGCTTTTGAAAGATTTTAAACAGTTCTTCTGTGGTAGCAAATGACTGTACATACCTCAGGAGGACCCGGGCTGAATATTGATACTGATCTCTTGATCCAATTTGATTTCAATTCCATTAATTTCATTTTGATTCATTTATATTAGATAAACATCAATGTTGCATGAGGTGCTTCTTGGAAACCTAGGAACTAGAATTCTTTTTTTCTGCATTAACAAGTGAGCAACACTGTTCCCTCGGATATAAAATTATTTAAAGTTCACACTACAGACTAAATTGTAAACACATTTCCAGGTTCTAATGTTGTGGATCAAGGATTTATTTTCCTTTCCAAAACTACTAAAACACTACCCATCTATATTTTTAGGTACATGTGCAAGACAGTTTAGCAGGAACAATAAAAACCCTGCAGCACGAGGACATCATTATTATGCATAATATAAAAAATAAAGGCTGTACTATACAGCTACACACAGATTGTCAGTCGAAGATGCTTCAGCTAAGTCCAGACTTCCACTTTAATGATCAGACCTTACAGTGTTACACTATAAGAGAGAGAGAGAGGCTGTGTATTTATGTGACAGATGGCAAAGTCCTTATTCTTAAGGCAAGACCATGGGTGCTTTCATGGGCTGAAATAATTGTGACCATTGAAGAGAAGCCCAAAAGCAGTGAACTAAAACTGGCTGTCCCCATGGTCTGTGCTGAGGGTATTGATTATGCCTTAAAACCTCCCTCATATAAAGCAGTTACGATTTAGCCATGTTGTAGCCAATATCGGCTTTAAAAAATTAGAAGAATGGCAAAAATAAAAAATGACTACAGCTGTCTGAAAAGTGTGTAAGAAAATGATGCATCTAAGAAAAGTGTGTGTGTACAGGCGGGGGGGCTGATTACTGAAAGGAGAGTGTGGAGAGAGAGATTAAGGCAGATGGAGAGAGCTATGAATACATTCATAGAGTGCAAAAGAGTGGGATGTTGA